GGGGCCACACAGTTTGTCCCCCGGGGTGGGTGGAGTGGGGATGGAGGGGTGCGGGGGGGGGGTGATGGAGAGATGCTGTGAGGTCCCAGTTCCCCTTGACTGGGGGTTCCAGTCCTACTGGGCTGCTCCTCCTGGGGAGTCCTGTCCATCCTGCAAACCCGAAGGAAGGGGGGTTTGGGGGTGCTGGGCCCCCTCTCTACTTCGGGTGAGACAGTGGGTGCTCCAGGCACTGAAGCCCCCCATGCACCAGTGAAGCCCCCCGAGCCCGTCCTCTCCCCACAGAGGGGTCACAACATTGACTGGGGGTTCCAGTCCTACTGGGCTGCTCCTCCTGGGGAGTCCTGTCCATCCTGCAAACCCGAAGGAAGGGGGGTTTGGGGGTGCTGGGCCCCCTCTCTACTTCGGGTGAGACAGTGGGTGCTCCAGGCACTGAAGCCCCCCATGCACCAGTGAAGCCCCCCGAGCCCGTCCTCTCCCCACAGAGGGGTCACAACACAGCCTGGGGTGGGGGGCAGTGGGTCGAGGTCCTCCCAGAGCCCCCATTGTGGGCACTGGGGGTGTATGGCCAGATGCTGGGCGCCCACCCTGACCTCCTCCCGGCCCCTCTGCGCACCCGGGGGGTGACCCCACAGCGGGATGGGGAGCACTGGGTTCCCAGGGGTGTGGGGACCCTGAAGCAAGGAGGGGACCCCGAGCAGAGCCCTGCAGCCCCCGGCCCTCCCTGGGGCTCCAGTGCCAACCGGAGGCATCAAATATTAACGGAGGCAGTGGAAGAGCTGAAAATAACCCTCTCTCCCTCCGAGGGAGCTGACCCAGATCTGGCCAGCCCCAAAGCTGGGCTGGACCCAGAGCCCCAACCAGTGCACTGCCGGGGCCCCTTCCCCTCCTCCAGGCTGCTCTGCCCTCCAGATGCCAGCTATATATCGCCTATATATTATGCAAATGAGCTATAAGGGCTTATTACGCAAACGCCAGGGGGCTGGCGCTACCCGGCGCTGGGTGGTCACCGGGGCTGGCCCTGACAGCTCAGAGAGGACAGCGGGGATGGAGGGGGCCCCATCGGTGTCCGTGTCCGCCCGGGTGTCCGGGGGCTGCCAGGGAGCGCTGCCCCGTCCCTCTCCCCTCCTGTAGCACAGAGCCGGGCCAGGCGCCTGCCCCGCTGCAGCGCTCGTCCCCCGGGACGGCCGGAGCGTCCCAGCGGCATGGGGAAGCAGAACAGCAAATTGCGACCCGAGATGCTCCAGGACCTACGGGAAAACACCGAGTTCTCCGACCTGGAGCTGCAGGGCTGGTACAAGGGCTTCCTGAAGGACTGTCCCTCCGGCATCCTCAACGTGGAGGAGTTCAAGAAGATCTATGCCAACTTCTTCCCCTACGGCGATGCCTCCAAGTTCGCTGAGCATGTCTTCCGCACCTTCGACACCAACGGTGACGGCACCATCGACTTCCGAGAGTTCATCATCGCCCTGAGTGTCACCTCCCGCGGGAAGCTGGAGCAGAAGCTCATGTGGGCCTTCAGCATGTACGACCTGGATGGCAACGGCTACATCAGCCGGGAGGAGATGCTGGAGATCGTGCAGGTACCGGGCTCCCTTGCCCCGCTGCGGCTGCTACTGTGTGGTCTTATATGTCACCCTGGTGTGATGGTGGCTGTCCCTTCCCAGGTTGAGGACGGCTTGGGGACAGGTACCCAGCGTTACCCCTGGTACAGGGCTTGACAGTGCCTGGGATGGAGCCCGTTGCTGCCTGCAGAGCCGCTCGCTGAGCTCTGCGGCTGCGGGGATCAGTCTATGCCAGGGCATTCCCTGGTCCTTCCCTGTCCTGGGGACATCCCTTTGTCACCCCATCCCGGGGCTCTCCCCGCTGGTCCCACTCGCAGTGCTCCTGGGGAGGGCTGGGTGCACGCAGGGGATGTGTTGTTGGCAGACCAACAGGAGACGCTCTCCTTGCCCAAACCTCAACCCGGTGGCATCAGCACTGGAAGGTGACTCATGAGGTGGCATCTCGGTGGGCATCTCCTCCCTGCAGGAGCAGCTCCGACTGCCTCCTGCAGCCGGGTTGTTTCCCTGGGGCTGCTGCTTGCATCCACAGCTAAAGCCCCCCATAGCCTGATGGCACGGGGAGGGTCTTAAACGCCGTTCCCAGGGCAGCAAAGCCCAGAACTCTGTCCCCTGTCTCGGGTGGGCGATGGCAGGCACCCACCTTGCACCCACCCTCATCCCCATCTCCCTCTCCCAGGCCATCTACAAAATGGTCTCCTCTGTGATGAACATGCCCGAAGATGAATCCACTCCGGAGAAAAGAACGGAAAAAATCTTCCGACAGATGGATACTAATAACGACGGTAAATGAGAGATGGAGGGGATTAAGGGAAAGGTCTCATGGCTAAATCCGGGGGTCTTAGAAGGAGCCACACGCGCGCTGATTAAATGGCTCTTGTCCGCCGGCGTGGCT